AAATCTCAAAATTCTTTCACGATAAAGTAAAATCATAGAACTTGGAATGTGTTGAATATGTCAAAGCAGCAGGTATGACAATTTCTGAATAATGCTTTTCTGGTTTTTATGCATAATTATACTGATATAGTGATAAATAAAACTAGCCAGCCATTTTGACCTATGCTTTCAACTCATGAAGTTATCAAGTCTCTTCTTAAATTCAGACACTGATTTTGTGCTCGCAACAGACTCTGTGAGACTTGGATAAAGAAATTCCTTAAATCCTAGTTCAAGCATCAAACTACTAACCAGTAGTTCCATAACCCTCTGGAGTTGTCATGTAAAATATACTTGAATGCTCTGTTCTCAAAGTAAAACTTTCTAAATCCCCGCTCTGAGGTTAAAATATACTTGAATGCTCTGTTCTCAAAGTAAAACTTTCTAAATCCCCGATCTGAGGTTAAAGACATCAAGCAGGTCTCACATCTGTGATGCCTTTCTAAATTAGACAATTTCAATTTTGTAATTCTTTTTTTAATTATTTCTCTATTGTTGTAAGACAAATATGTACTGTATTTTAAGTCCATTTCTTTTCTTTTTCATAAATAAATAAACCTTTGCATTACTGGCTTCAAATCAAGGGGAGTCCATCTGTTATTTAATCTAGGTTCTCAATGGGCAAAGTTGTATTCTTTTCATAAAGATGCACTTTTAAATCCAACACACAATAAATACATTTGTTGATGTGTGTGCACACTTCTAATTGTTACAGTGACCTCAATTATCATAGAGGGCGTACTTTACTTTGAAATGCGAAAAAAAAATGTTGATGTGATCAGAAATATTTTTGTATGATTTTAGATGAGGTGACTATCATCAAGGAAGGCTGGTGTACCAAGGAGAGTGGACAGAAGACACTAGGCAGATACAATTGGAAAAAACGATGGTTTCTTCTGACACAACAACGTGATGTGATTAACCTCTCGTATTATGAAAATGAGTAGGTTTTTTAGTCCTTATTTGGATTTAGTCCGAAAACAGGGACTTATGGATTAATTGACCTCTGTCAGTTTGTTTGTCTGTCTGTCTGTCTGTTCGTCTATATCCAGCATGCTCGATCCAATTAAGTTCAAACTTCATACATACATAATGGCCGATTGGTTGCCATTTTGTTTTAAAGATTGCCTGAATCAATAAAGTTTGAAATTCACACGTACATCAAACATTATAACAGACAAATGCACATGATCTAATCTAATATTGCTGACTAGCAGACAGCTCCACCGAGCCATAACCCATGCATGTCACCCAATATGAATACCACTGCAATCATCTATCCATTACAAATTTTAATTATAGTTTGATTCAACTGCCAAGGCTAGTGATTCTATTATTTAATCACATAGACATCAACAATCTACAGTGAAATGCATTGTTTCAAAACATCATGTTTTTCAAAATTAAAGCAGAACAATGCAGTGCCATGGTAATATAATGCTAATGAAACATTTTAATTTTGTATACTTAGGAAGAAGCAACATCTTACTGACAAAGAATGCATATTAAAAGGCAGCATAGAACTGACTAACGCATGTAAGTTAATGATAATTCTATTATCAGACATTCCTGCATGCACAGGAGTGTCACTTAAAGCTTTCCCCTGAGTTGCAAATCAAATAATAGAAACATTCCCTTGAGTTTAACAATGTGTTATGATTATACCATTCAGTTCTATTTTTAGTAATTAAGATCTTGTAATTGTGACATATATGCTGTTGTTGAACAAATTTAAATATTAATTTTTTCAGATATAACAAAGTATTTGTATGATGGCGAGAAAAAGAAAAAGTTTTGTTTTTCATTGGGTCCTCTAGTTGAGGACGGGACAACCAGAACATATTATATCAGCTGTGGTGAGTGTTATAGTGTATATAGTCCACTGAATGCCTAAGTCAATGTGTGTAAATTCACTGAATGCCTGAGTCAATGAATGTATAACTGATCACTGAATGCCCAAGTCAATGAGTGTGTAACC